TGCAGAGAATGATCTCCCGGGGAGAGGAGCCCGTAAACAAAGCTCTCCATCCCTGAATTATTCAGAAGTTTCCACCCCATGAACATTGAAGACCGAAAGGCGAGGAGATGTTTGCAAAATCCCATTATCCTGTCATGGATTTCAACCTGTTTTGTTTGTTTGTTTTGTTTTTTGTTTTTAGACTCACCTAAATTTCCGGAGCAGAGTGCAAAACAAATTTCCTTCTCCAGCTGTAGAGAAGTAGCCAGAACACTTTTTTCAAAGTCATACAGCTGGTCCTCGACTTATGACCGGTTGAAGTTATGGTGGACCCCCTCCCCCCATAGTGATTCCCTTAAGGACGTGTGACTTTATTTACAATTGTTTTCAGAATCCTATGGTCAGACGGACATGTAATACGTCATTTTTTCAGAAAATTGTCATTTCCTTCTGGTTTTGGGGAAAAATCAGCCCATAGTTGAACAATTGGTTTTCTACAAAAAACAAAGTGGTAAAGCCAGTTCTGTCATGTGGGTGTCCTGCTTTACGACTGTCTCAACTTACACCCGTACAGTGACTGAATGGCTAAGAAGAACTCGCATCTGTGTCTCGTCTAATTCTTAGCCGTCTTAGTTCGGTTCTAGGATAGCTCTTAATAATATTTTAACTCTGTGCCCTTTTTAATCTTCTAATTATTTTACTTGTTGCATAACTTGTAAGTTACCCAGAATTGCTTTGTAGGGAGAAGCAGAGGAAGGAAGGAAGGAAGGAAGGAAGGAAGGAAGGAAGGAAGGAAGGAAGGAAGGAAGGAAGGAAGGAAGGAGAGACAGAGAAAAAGAAAGAAAGAGAGAGAGAGATGGAAGGAGGAAGGAAGGGTGGGTGGGGGGAAGTTAGGAAGGAAGGAAAGAGAGATAAAGACAAAGGAAGGGAAAGAAAGAAAGAAAGAAAGAAAGAGGGAGAGAGGAAGGAAGGAAGGAGAGGGAGAGACAGAGAAAGAAAGAAAGAAAGAGAGAGAGAGAGAGAGGAGGGAGGGAGGGAGGAAGGAAGGAAGGAGAGGGACAGACAGAGAAAGAAAGAAAAGAAAGAGAAAGAAAGGGGGAGGGAGGGAGAAGGAAGGAGAGGGAGAGACAGAGAAAGAAAGGAAGAAAGGAAGGAGGGAGGGAGGGACAAGGAAGGAAGGAAGGAAGGAAGGAAGGAAGGAAGGAAGGAAGGAAGGAAGGAAGGAAGGAAGGAAATCTCCGTGATGGTCATAAATCAAGGACTACTTGTGTTAAAAAACCAAGCCAGATCAAGCCATTCATTCTGAAACAAAGCCACCGTTCAGTAACTCACTAATGCCCCCTAGTGGCTGAAAGGAAAAAGATTTTCGTGTTTTTATTCTAAAGCACAAAAAGGGGAATTTTGTTTAAGATGTTCTTGCGAATATTACATCCGCCTGCTTTTCTTTCATAGGATCGGTTCACATCCTAGAGTGAACTACGAGCTACAGGGAGTCCTTGGTTTATGACCGCAATTGAGCCCAGTGTTTCTGTTTCTAAGCAAGCCAGTCGTTAAGCGAGTCATGCCTCAATTTACAACTTTTTGCTTTTTGCTTGCTGGAGTTGTTGATTCACTTAATCATGCAATTGTTGCTGTGCATGGTTGTTAAGTGAATCTGGCTTCCCCTATTGATTTTGCTTGTCAGGAGGTCGCAATGCGATACAGCAACCGTCATAAATATGAATCAGTTGCCAAGCGTCTGAATTTTGATGACGTGGCCAGGGGGATGCTTGCAATAGTTGCATAAACAAATGCTCATAACAGTTTTTTTTTTCGATGTTTGTTGTGGCTACCAACGGTCACTAAACAAAGCCACATTCACTTAACCACGTTACTAAATTAACACTCACTTAACAACTGTAGCAAGAAAAGTCATCAAATGGGGTAAAACTCAACTGTCTCGCTTAGCAACACAAAATTAGGGGTCAATTGTGCTCGCAAGTAGAGGACTCCCTGTATCTCTTTAGTGTTGCAAATACAGGTATTCCTCGACTTACGACCACAATCGATACAAGAATGGGCATCAGTAAGCAAAGCGATTGTTAAAAGTGAGTCGCAGTCAATTTTGCCTTTTTGCCACGTTTAAGGAAATCGTTGCCGTCGTTAAATGAATCGTGCAGTCTTTAAGCGAATCCAGATTCCCTCATTGACTTTGCTCGCCAGAAGCTGACTGGGAAGGTCGTAAAATGAGGAATCGTGCGATCCCAGGACATTGCAACCATCGATTGCTAACTGCTCAACTTTTGATCCCGCGACTGTGAGGGTGCAGCGACAGTCGTAAGTACGAGGACTGGTTGTTAAGGCCCATTTTTTTTTAGTGTTGTTGTATCTTTGAGCAGTCACCGAACGGTTGTGACCTGAGGACTATCTGAAGTTGCTTTGCAAAATCTTCTGTTTTATAAGCGAGGAAAACTAACGGAAACTGCTTGGAAATAATTCCACGTCTTTTTGGGTCCCGACAGATGTAGAGGGACGTTCCTCGTTTTGCTTGCTGCTTTTTATTTATATTTATTAAATTCTTATGCTGCTCGCCAGCTCCCCAAGCTTAACTTTCCTCCATCGATTTTAGCAGATATTTAGGAAAACGTGGTCTCTGAATAAAATCCCACCCAGATCCTACACAGCAGAGAAGATCGAGGTGAAAAAGAGGTTAAAAAAAACATCACTCACAAATACGTATCAAAAATTGAATTTAAACTTTTACTCTTATTGATTCCTCTTGGTATATACAAATGCATGCCCTCCCCCCCCCCCCAAGATATTAGAAGTCGGCTCTTTTGAACACAGTGCACAGGAGAAGTAGGCGAGGAGAATCAGAAACACACCGAAGGCTCCTTGGTTTAAAAATAAAAATCTGAGAAGTTGTCTTAAAATCCTTTGATCATTTCAAAGGGGGAGCAATTTGGAATTTTAACATTTGTTGGCTTTCGCTCAGGAAGGAGGAAAAACAGATCTTGGCACCAACAAGGATGCGCGGTATGTGATAAAAAAACATGTATTTCCTGAAGAAAAAATCAGGGATGGGCTTCAAAAATTTTAGTAAGGGGTTTTCTGCCCGGTTGCTGTGTGGGCGTGGCCATGGTGGGCGTGGCCTAGTCAGCTTCCTGCACCATGCTGAGGGGGTTGTTTTTGCCCTCCCCAGGCTCCAGGGCTTTCCTCAAGCCTCCGGGAAGGCGAAAACGGCCTCCCCAGGCTCTGGAGGCTGAAAATGGCCCCGTTTCCGGCCTTCCCAAACTTCCGGTAGGCCTGTTTTTCGCCTTCTCTGAGCCTCCATGCGTGCCCTGCACTTACCTGCATCCAAAACAGGCCACGTGGGGACTCCTGCGAGGGGAGGGGTGGGCAGGAGTGGGATTTGGGGGTTCTCTGAACTGCACAGAATCTTAGCTAGAGGTTCTCCCGAACCCCTGTGAATCCCCAGCAGTCCACCCGAGAAAAATGTTACGTGAAAACAGTCCTTGACTTACAACCATTCGTTTAGTGACGGTTTGAAGTTACAACGGCACCGAAAAAAGGAACTAATGAGCAGTTTTCCATACATCCCCATGGTCTCTTGAGCAAAATTAGCAACTGATTCATATTTATGACGGTTGCAATGTCCCGGGGTCATGTGTTCCCCTTTTGTGACCTACTGATAAGCAGAGTCAATGGGCAGGCCAGATTCATTTAACAACTTTGGCCTCAATTGTGGTCATAAGTTGAGGTCACACAATTAAAAGGCATCAAGATGTTTAGGGTGGGCTCAAATAGGTAGCTACACCCCTTTTCAGAGGGGGCGTGTCTGAAAGGTTCACCATCAGGGGCAGGTTTTAAAACCCGTTGCTACTGATTTGCTCGTGAGCGTGCAACGCTTCTGCACATGTGCAGAAGTGTCCGGGCGGATGGGTGGAACCTCCCACCGCTGCCACTACCAGTTTGCCAGTTCCGGGGCAAACTGGTAGCAACTCACCAGTATTCACCATGCCCCTGCACTTGGAAAGTTAGCAGATCAGGGGACAACCTGCAAGATTTTGCAAGCCAGATGATTGGAAAATTATAGAGTTCAATCAATGCCACCCAAACATTTTCCTTCCATTGCCCAGAGTCGCCTCTTGTAAAGTCTTATCAAACTATGAGGATCAATCGTCTCTTCCTTCAGCACCGTCGTAACTTTGAAGAGTTTCTGAAGGGTCATAATTTGATAAAAACAGGGAGTCCTTGACTTATGACCAGAGTTCAGCTCAACGTTTCCAAGTTGTTAAGCAACACCGTGATTTAGTGAGTTTTGCCTCATTTTATGACCTTTCCTTCCATGATTATTAAGCGAATCGCTGCAGTTGTTAAATTAGTCACATGGTTGTTAAGTGAATCTGGCTCCCCCACTGACTTTGCTTGTCAGAAGGTCGTGTGACCTCGGGACGTTGCAACCGTCATAAATACGAGTCAGTTGCCAAGCATCCGGATTTTGATCACGTGACCACGGGGATGCTGAAAATGGTCCTGTGAAAAATGATCATCTCTTTTTTCAGCACCGTTGTTAACTTTGAATGTTCACTAAAGGAATGGTTGTAAGTTGAGGACTACCTGTATTTCATTAAAGGGTAAAACCTACCTCTGTGATGGGACTATCTATACCTGAAGGACATCTGAGAAGGTAACATTGGCCACTGTAGTGACAAGAGACGGTGGGAACCTGGCAGTGCACAAGAAATGGTAAGAGTGCATCAAGCCAACATCTGTTAACGTTTAACACGCTCAAGTCTTTTGTGCAAGGTCCTTGGTGCTCTCTGCTTCCTTGCAGACATTTCATAACCCAGCTAGCTAACATCATCAATCTTAGTGTTCCTTTGCCATGACGTCTAGTAGCTTTGGAATTGCTTTGAATTCAACTCAACGGATGCCCAGTTTAGGGCCCGCCATTATAAATCACTTATTGCTTGGAATAAAAATTCATCCCGCTCGAAGTCGAACTTGGAAAAAGCAACTATAAGAACAACATAACAATATGCAGTAGACTTTTCTTATTATTATCTGCGTGAGCACCTGTATGTAGAAACTCGACCAAAATCCAGATACATGAGAAAATTGTACAAAAATGCCGTATCAAGATGAAACCGTGTAGCCAAGGCTGGTTTTTTTTTGGGTTCAAAACGAGGAACAGTCTATATGTACAGGAAATTTTTACAGGATATTATCTGAAGGCACCTTCCCCCCCCCCCCCCCCACATTAGTGAAGTTTAAAGGCTGTTGCCTTCTCTACCCCCAACTTAATACAAAATACATTTATCTACAATTTAGTGTAATTCAGACGAGATTCAAAAGTCAATTTCCCAAACGATTCCTCCCCCAAATAATATAATAATAAATTATATATGCATTACGACAGCAATTGCCCTCTTTGGCCATATAAAAAATAAACAAAAACAACAACCCCTCAAATGTTCGGTGAATGATCTTGTGCTTTAAACTTTGGACGGGAACCCCCCCAAAGCTGGTTGCAACCAAGTTCCAATGCTCGTGTTTGGAGAAAGCTTAGGTCACACTTTGGGAGTATTCAGTGCATCTGATTTTTTTTTTTCCAGGTTGATTTTCCCAGATTATCAGTGGTGGAGGTGGCTTTCGGAAACTGTTCTCCGCTTTGGGGGTGGAAGAAAACGGACGGAAAAACCAGACGGCAGCCTCAAAAACTCTGAATTTCTACTTGAATCCAGAGCAGAGAACGTCTTCTTCAGCGCGTGCATATCCCGCAGCCTTTTCTTGGATTAAACAAATTAATCCAGAAAGATTGCAAGCTTCCTTCCTCTAGACGGATATTTCCTTTGCTGCCTGTCACAAGTCTAACAACAACAACAACAAAAAAATAGTGTTTTTCTTTCTTTTTTTTTTTGCTAAAATGTATGATTTTGAGCAAGGACGGAAAGGGAAAAAAAAAAGCCCAAAATTTACGAGTCAATCTGCTCAGAGCTGCTTTGGAATAACCACCCTCAAAACTGAGACGGGTTTTTTTTTTTTTTTTTTAAACAACCCGTTCTGGGATATGTGTGTGTGTGGGGGGAGGTTTGTGTCCTTTTTCACACCCCCAAATCTGGCGGTTTCTCGGCCACCTGCCGGGTTAGGATCTGGTGAGAAGAAAGGGATGCCACGGCGACGTGGAAGAGAATCTGCCAGTGGTTTCGTAATCCGTACAGGTAGATGTTGCACAGACAGACCGTCGCGAAAAGGAGAGAGACTTTGATCTTCCGGGTGGAAGTGTAGAACAGGTAGAGGTAACACTGCGGAAAATAAATTTTGAGAAAGAAAAGAAAAAAAACGGCTGTTAAGTAAGCAAGGATACAAATACAATATAAGGGAGATAGTGCCTGGTTTACGACGGTGATTGGGATAGGAACTGCTAAATTACATGGATGTAAAGTCCAACAGTTGTTATCGTTGTTAAGTGAATTACTGTTATGGCCTGTTGGTACCCTGGACCCTCCAGCAGCCGAATCAGAGGATGAGGAGGAGGTGTGGGAGTCAGGGCAAGCATCAATGTCAGAGTGGCAATCCGCCCCGTTACCTTCCTGGGGAAATTGCCTGAGTTAGAGGTGAATCGTGGCATTTTCCTTGTGTATACTTTTTGCAAGAAAATAAACCCAAAGATATATTTTCTAAGAAAAACTCATTTATTTGTTATAAAGAAAATAAAACATCTCACTAATCTAAATAGTTACATCTTGTCAACGTTCCTGCCAGCCACCTCTTGGCAGGAAAACAAAGAAAAGTTCACAGAAGAAAGTGAAGGAATGTAGACATGCGCAGTTAGCTTACTGATAAGAAACTTGGCAAGCTACGGTAAGTCTGAAAGTCCCAAAATAATAGCTCATCTGGTAAATACAAAAACGCAGTGACAATCAAGGCAACCTGAGAGCTCTGAGGGGGAAAAGGGAATGGAGCTGGTAGAGAGAGAGAGAGAGAGAGGTGGAACCTGGGCCATCAGATAGTCAACAGCCCCCAGGTCTGGAGGTGGCTGATGAGGAAGAGGAGGAACAGCTGGGTCCAGTGCACAAATGCACAGAAGGCAGAGGAGAGGAGAGCAGTGGAAATCTATGGGCCGGTCCTTGGGATGGAAGAGTCACCACTGCTAGCGAAGCCCCACTCTATCTCTGGGGATAAAAGGCAGGGGACGGAGACGAATAGGTGTGGCAGACATCTCCCAGACGGATGGACTTGTTAGCCTGCAGTGAGAGAGAAACCTTTTGCTGGGTCTGCTGGCACTCCTAATAAAGGAATCTTTTGAGTTCCCTGCAGAGGGTTTGTCGTGTTTGGAGAACTGAGTCAGAACAATCACCTGTAGGTCATTAAACGAGGAGGCCATGTGCAGCTTCCTGCTGATTTCCACACTACTCGTCAGAAACGGGCAAAGAAGGTCGCAAATCGTAATTGTGTGCTAAAAGAGCCAAGTACCACTCATTCAGTGCAGACGCAAGTTTGAATGACGGATGAACGAGAGGCTGTTAAGTGAGGACC